AAGCTCCTTGGAGCCTCCCAGGCTTCCCCACCATAGTCCTGAACCTGAGAAATGTGTGGTAACATGTCACCACTTTCCTGTTTCTTTTTCCCTATATTTCTGTGTTAACACACAAAGAAATCACAGGGCATAGTGGTTTAGGCAATTTAGGGTTAGCCTCTGAAGTCACCTTCAAATAATGATTTTGTGGATGGAAGCTAGCTGGGTTACTTTGTGCAAAATACCTAACTTTCCATTTTCTCATCCATAAAATGGGAATTATTATAGTAATCTGTTTTATAGGGTTGTGAGAATTGAATGAGTTAATGTACACAAAGTTCTTAGGACCAGAATGGTGCCTGACTTACAGAAAGCACTGATCATCGCTGTTATTACAGGTAATTCGGCACATTAAACCACTGGTCTCATGATTAGGTTGATTTTTCTTCACGTGCCCAAATAAAGATTCATCTAGCCTGGAATCATATTTTGAGGTAAACTCACTAACTCTACATCTCAAAACTGTATGGCTTCACAACTGGTTCTTAGTGTGACTTGATGAGAAGCAGCAGAACTAGGAACTGCAGGAAAATTTAAAGAGTGACCATTAACCTAGCTAAGTACAGAATATTTTTAGAATTTACTCTGCATTTTCTTTAGATATTACATGCAGAAACACCAACCTTAGCATGCCCCCCACTTCCACCACACACACCAGTGCACACTCACTCCCAGCACATTGTGGCCAACTGGGGAAACAGGTTTAGGAGACTGTGCTGCCAGGCTAGATTTCTAGCTGGAACCTTGAGACTGGACAGCTCTACAAACTCTTGCATTATTTCCACCTCTTCAGTTCTCCATCTTCCACGAGCTTACACTTTTCTCACCTCTTATCCAACACTTCAGTTTTCCTTAATTACACTTACAGCAGGAAGAGGACATTCCTTAGCACCCCATCTCTCTTCGTGGTTTGTTTCTGCCTCTGGAAAATGGCATAGATGTATATCTCATAATGCAGTTGTGAGAACAAGAAATATACAGCCGCAAATAAAATAATCTTTATTTTGTGCAACAATTCCTTAGCTTTGTGCTGTAACTACATATTTACTTGCTCTATCCTTGCTGATTTCTGTCTCCTTGTAAACCTAGCACAGTGTCATACACATATCAGGATTTGTTTTCATTCATTCAACAAATGTTTGTTGAGCATTTTAAATGTACCACTCTCCTGGGCTCTATGTTTACTGTGATAAAAAATCAATCCCACTCTGTTAGATGGACATTTCAATTGTCCTGCTAGATGGACATTTGCTAAATTGACCTTTCAATTGCATTTACCATGCATTCAATTTACAGACAAGACTGTAAAATGCATCTTCCCTCCAGCAGGGCCAGGAAGTTTACCTGGCATATGATACAACCAGTCAGCCTAAACTGTCTGCTTAAATGGGACAGAAATATACAGCATCTGAGGTGCTGCTGTGACAGGGCCTCTATTGAATGTGCTAACATTCCATTGAACACATGTCCATTGTGGTCCTCTAAGATGTATATTTTTTGTTTGTTTAAAAGTCTGTCTCATCCATTAGCCTGTGAACCCCTAAAGGTAGTAATTACATATATTTTCACCTTTGCATTTCTCTCTGCCTTCAGAAATAGCTCAGTGCCTGAATTTAGTAGATGCTCCATAAAATATTAATAGAGTGAAATCATGGAGAGGATAGTAAAACTTTTTCCTGGGTGCTATAATAAATATTTCACCATTATGTCCACCAAGTGTATTGTTATTCATTAGGCAAATACTGTGTGAATGCCTACCGTGTGCTGTTACTAACTATGCCAAGTGTTACTGTGTAGCATATGTTGCCTCACTTTGACCACACTTGGAATGTATTATTCTGTTTTTCTCTTTTCTGGGTTTTGTAATTTAAAAAGCTGAGAGGCAAATGTGAAGTGCAGTCTGTGAAGGTCAATCAAGTTACAGGAAAAGACCCATTTTAAATATTAGCTATGATGAGACAAAAAGCTGAATTTGGCATTAGTTTATTAAACCCAGACCTATGGGTTTCCCAAGCTTGCATCTTTCTGTATAAATTGAATTAAACCTTAAACACTGCGGGGGAAAGACTGAAAAATAGCCAGCTGTGTGAAGAGATGTGGGGTGCATTCCCAGGAATAACTGTTTTTTCTACACTTAACCTTAATTTATTTAGCATCTAGTTGGTTGAAAAATTCAGCCAGTATGCAAATTAGTCTTATAACCAGTTTTTTCTATGCTTTCTAGAAATCTGATCATTAAGAAAAGCTTGTTTTAAAATGCATCTTTCACTGACAGTTACAAATTCTAGCAGCTTTCCTGCATTAAATACTGGCACTGAAATCATACTTAAAATTTAAATATGTCTTAAAGAAGTGGCTTAGAAATAAGCATTTATAAGTAACTTACTTATGTCAGAAAGCTAGTTACCACTACAGAAATATACAGCTTATTAGTATCAAAGTTATATAAAAAAATTATTAGTATCAAAGTTACATAAAAAAGCAAGGACTTTGAATAAAACTCATAATAAGAAATTACTCCAAGTATCCCTTTCGGAAAGAAGTATTCAAAGGCTGTCTTAGTCCATATGGGCTGCTATAACAAAGAAACTTCATTGACTGGGTGATGTATAGATCACACAAATTTATTTCTTACAGCTCCGGAAGTCCAAGATCAGGTCCAAGCAGAGTGCACAGCTGGTGAGAGCTCACTTCCTGGTTCACAGACCCCTGTCTTCTCATTGTCCTCACATGGCAGAAGGGGCAAGGGAGTGTGCTGAGTCTCTTCTTAAGGGTTCTAATTCCATTCATAAGTGTCATAAAGTCTTAACTTGTTTCAGTATCAGCTCAAAAATCTAAAGTCCAATATCTAGTCTAAATCACATATGGGTGAGACTCAAGGTATGATTCATCTTGAGGCAAATTGCTCTCTAGCTATGAAACTGTGAAACCAAAAAACTTTTGTGGTTCCAAAATATGTTTATTCTATACTTAACCTTAATTTATTTAGCATCTAGTTGGTTGAAAAATTCAGCCAGCATGCAAATTAGTCTCATAACCAGTTTTTTGTATGCTTTCTGGAAAATCTGATCATTAAGAAAATTTTCTGTGTTACTGTGTAACATATGTTGCCTCACTTTGACCATACTTGGACAAAGAAGTGTGGCACAATAGAAGACACTCCCATTCCAAAAGGGAGAAACAGGAAAGAAGAAAGGATTAACAGTTCCCAGGTAAGCCCAAGAGTAAAGAGGACAAACATTAAACATAAGGCTCAAGGATAATCTTTGAGTCTATGATCTGCCGTCCGGACCTGCGGGGATGGCCGTATCACCCGCAGGGCTTGGCAGAACAGCCCTGCAGAGTCTCTCTGCTGGGACCCTTTGGCTCTACAGGGCTGGAGTTGCAAGTGCAAGTCTCTTCCAGGTGGCCCCATTCCTTGATACCTAGGTGGAGGCGGCCATGCCCCTTGGCCTGTGCATTCTGAGCCCTGGTGAAGTGGCCACATGGACACCAACAAAATTTGCTGCCTGCACCCTCTGGAGGAGTGGACGCTAAAGCCCATGGCATGCCTGGGCCCACCTGAGCCACATCTGGGGCAGCACAGAAACAGAGACCCCAATGTGAGAGTTCCGGGCAGTGCGCACAGAAGTCCCACAGGTGCTGGCCACCTGTCCTTTAATTCACTCTGCATCCCTGGGCTTGCACGCAGGGCCTGTAATGGGAGTGGCAGCTACCGCATCACCTTCAGGATTATTTTCCCAGTGTCTTGGAGGTGAGTGCCTGGCTTCTCTGAGAAAGCCATTCATACTAGTCTCTTTATCAGTGCACCTTGGCCACACCCTTAGTGTTCTCATTTTTTACTACAATATCGTTTTTTCAATAGGCTAAGAATTTTCCAAATCTTTAAGTTCCGTTTCTTATTTATTAATTTTTTCTTAACAAATCTGTTATTAGGTCCTTTCTCCCTCTTCATTTCACTATAAGCAGCGGTCAGGGGGAACCCAGCTGTACTTTCAGCACAGCTTAGAACTTGTCTCCAGCTAAATATCATTTCATTATTCACCAAGTTCTGCCTTGCACAAAACACTAGAACATGGGTATAATATAGCCAAGTCTTTGCCACTTTATGACAAAGACCACTTTTTATCCATTGTTTAGTAACAGGTTCCTCAGTGCCACCTAAACCTCATCAAACAGCCTTTAATGTCCATATTTCTACTGTGGAAGTAAGTAAAGCAAACCTCATTTGACATGGAGTGGGGAGACTCTGAAGGGGAGCTCTCACCCACGTGCCTCCGTGCAGCCTGCATAACCAGCAGGAGGAGGGGACATAATTCTAATCTCAACAAGAGAGAATATTTTTCACTAGGAAGTTTATCTTCCACTTTTAAGAAAAAGGGGAAGATCTCCCTTTTCCCCAGCGACAATGCACTAACCACCACTTGCAGCCAGTGAGAAACCTCTACAACCTCAAATTCTCTTCTCCAAGGAACTTTGTTCAGAACATCCCTCCTCAAACGTCCTCCTGAAACCTAACAATGCTGACCATCCCTGTGTCTCTTTGGACTTGCCTATGGTGTTGTCATAGTTTGCTTGTCCCTAATCGCAATTCCTCTGCTATTCCTAAATAAACTCATTTTGCTAGAAAAATAACTGGCTATTTTATTTTTAAGGTTGGCACTACTGATATGTGGTTCAGGATTACTTAGGTAATCTCTAAGAAGACTGAGGCTTTCTCTTTAGCTCTTTTCTTCTTGAGCTCTCAAATCACCTTTAAAACTGTTCAAGGCAATCTAGGCTTTTTCCAGCATGCACTTCAATGCTCTTCCAGCCTCTACCCATTATCCAGTTCCAAAGCCACTTCCAATTTTGGGGTGTTTGTTACAGCAGCATCCCCACTTCTTGGCACCAATTTCTGACTTAATCCATTTGAGCTACTGTAACAAAAATGTGCTATAGACTGGGTGGCTTAAACAACATTTATTTCTCACAGTTCCAGAAACTGAGAAGTCCAAGACTAAGGCCCTGGCAGATCGTAAGGGCACCAACTCCTTGGTTAGTCCCCCACATGACCTATCACCTCCCAAAGGCCCCACTCCAATTACCATCACATTGGGGTAATTCACAAATTTTGGGGTCGGGGGCCCCAAACATTCAGTCTCTAATAAAAGCTCAATCACAAGTCAAATAATAAAACAGCACTCTACTATGAACATATTTCTTTAAAAGCCATAAACAATATGATGAAGCATGAAAAACACAGAAATGTCAGAGAATAACTTGTTTCTTTAATTGATCTGATAAATTTTACTTTATGAAATATTAAGAAATATACAAATTATGATATGAGTCATAGTGTAAATTACAATCTGAGTCATAGTATAGGAATTACAATATGCGTCATAGTATAAAAATATAAGACACGTATTATTTTTAAAGAAAGAGACTGTAACTATAAAAGACATGTTAAGGCCACAAAAAATTTAAACAGGAATTTAAAATGTCATATGCTAAAAACTGTTTTTTCTTGGTATTAATGAGCAGGTCTCAGAATGCAGGGATGCAAGCAAGTAAAAATGAAGTTTACATAGATAAACTTTCTCAATACTATTTGTCTGATTTCCTATATAAAATGTCAAACATGATAAGAAAAAAATACATATGTCTGTTTAAGACTGCAGTTGTGTATTCAAATATAAAATAATTACTATTTTAGAAAGCAGCAGCTTTTACATGTTTTTTTAAAAAGCTTATAGTAGCACATAAAAATGAACATTACAAGAAACTAGTAAAATAACTTTCACCATGAAAAGATGAATACAGTTTAAAAATGAGCACCTTTTATTTCACTTCAATAAGAACTGTGGGTGAAAGTCCTCCTCTCAGAGTAATCGCATCTAAGAACACTCGGGCTTGCTTTATTTAATAAGCAGTGGAAGAATGCATCACATTCTACATAGTGGCTGGGCGGAAAGAACTCAGTCCTTATTCAGATAGGAAGCTAAATAGCATCAGAGGCTCGTTGATTTATTAGAGTGTATTCAGCAATACACTATGCTTTTAACTAGTCAATACAAGCAAGTACAATTTGTACTTACTGTTGATCCTACATAATCTTTACTGATAAGTACAGGTCATGGAGAAGTAGCATGTTTGCTGTTTTATCACTTTCTTTGCATAGATACAGATTTACCTATCACTTAAATAAAAAGCAGCAAAGCAGTATCAAGTAATGTCAGAATTTGTAGTTACTGCTTGTACAAAGGGCTACACTGAAACATAAACTTCGCAAAGAGTGTCACATTTCAAAAATTAAAAACAAAACTCCAACTCTTGCAATAAAACAGCACATTGATTATCAGGGATCACTTCGACAGAAAAAACAATGATCTCCTTTGTGTCACATCAAATGAGATAAAAAAGTTCAACTGTCAATCTTAGATATTTAGCCAAACAAATTTTATGTATAAGGCATCAGTGACCAAGAAAGGTTACATGTATTAAATGCAAGCTTGTTGCTCAGAGACCTAGATTGGCTGTGGCCCTTGTTGCCTCTTTTCCTGATAGTGTGACCCTGTCTTCATACATAGGGAGCTCCTGAGTGCACATGCTAGCCAATGAGGGAATAGGTATGGAAAAACACAAATCTTAGGATAAAAATCAAGTTTCATTTTGTAATAAAATCAAATTTTCCATTGAAACATAAACTTCGCAAAAGTGCACAGGTAAGTTTTTCTTGTACAATAAAATATAGTCTTTCTATCTGCCTTTCTTTCTGTTTTTGAAGATGAGAAGTATAATTTTTTTCACCTGGAATCAAATTTGTCTTCAATACTAGAACATTTTGATGGAGAGAAGTAGGAGTGGGTTAGAGATGGAAGCTCTGTTACTCTATCTCAGCAGAGATTGCTTTAAGCTCACCATTTTACTACCCATTAAGGTGAAAGCTATGGGATTCATTTTCCTTTATCTCATGGGTAAGTGTTTTCAAGCTCACTGTATACATGTTTACTTGGTTAATGAGTCATCACTTTTTCAGGGTGAACTTCCAGTCTACCAAGTAGCCAAGTAGACAGATACTCAATTGAAACACATGTTTAGATTGTTTCTTTCAAGTGCAAGAACACACTTAGCCTACCTGTTAGAGCTAACATGCAATAAAAACATTCTGAAAAAGCAGATAAATATATTTGCAAATAATTGAGGGGACTGTAAGCCCAATCCAACTTTTCTAAATTCTTTTTTATTAACCATAATTGCTGACTTGCTGTGTCCGTTTATCTTGATGAACGTTGTGGTGGAGATCTTTCAAAATACATGAAGTCCTGAAATTGGAAAAAGAATTACATGCATATATAGAGAGGTGGATAGGTAAATACAGAACTATATCTATAGATAGATAAATTAGATGACATGCATAAAATATTATCATTTATAACTCATCAGGAAACCCTCCCATACTAGTTAAGAATAAACAAATCTAATGAAATTTTTATGAAGAGGACCTAATATGAAGAGCAGCAATTACAAACTTAAATATTGGTAGCTAATCAGCTTTCCATTTGGGGGTACTGATTAACTAAATTTTCAATCTTAAGAAGAAAAGCTTGATAATCAATATTAAATAAGTTAAATATACCAACTATAACATGTTCATTATGTTTTCAAGGTAAATATTATCAATTTTTTTCTATGCTTTACTTCAGAATGTTAACCACTAATCAGTAATACAGCAAGGGAATTGTACCTACTAAATTGAAGGAGGGTATAACCCCAAGAAATACACTGACAGAGAAGCAATAAGGTGGAGAGAAAGAACATAGGCTTTAGAGTTATTTTATTTCATGATGAAATCCTAGGACAGCCATTTTTAAGTAGTGAGAATGATAAATAACATACAGTGATGACAATTAAACCCATTGGGTGCCTGCAGCTTCCCAAGCACTCACCTAATCCCTTTACTCATAAGATGGCTAATATTCATAACCCTGAAAATGATAAACATTCTCATATCCATTCTCATTCTCCAGATTAGGAGACTGAGGCTTCTAAGTATTAAACACTTTGCAAAATAGGTAACTAGTTAAGTTGTAGAGACAGAAGTTGGCCTCATTTCAAAGCATATTGCGTTCATACTACACTAAACTGCTTCTCTTCAGAAAGATAAGTCTCTCAAGATAGCTCAAAAGTAAAAGGCTTACAATGAGGAAGCAAGCTCCAAAAATCATGGCTTTCATCTTCACATCCAGGTCTGCTGGGAAATGAATGTCAAAGTGGTCAGCATCGCCCATTGCTGATAACAAACCATTCCACTTCCTAGTAATACTGCCAATGCTGGATACACCATCTAGGGATTTAACCTAGGAAAATGAATAAAAATGTGACTTAATGATGTTTGAAAAATATTATACTACATGTTTTATTCTTCTAGTTAGAAACAAATAACACTGAGATACATACATGGCAAGGCAGGAAATGAATATACTAATAGTGCAATTTCAAATGGGCAATTATGACCAAGACAGGTTAAGTGTCTTCCAACTGGTTAATAACTTGGCTGAGGATATCTTAAAATTCTCAGGTCAGTGCTCTTACTTCACTCTTAAATGAGTTATTAGGGAAGTATGAATTGAATTGATTCTGAAATTATTCTCCATATAGCAAAGGGTAGGAATTGGTGATTGGGAGAGTGCTTCTTCATATAGAGAAACGCATGAGCAAAAGCAAGGAGGAATGGTTCTCTACACTCCATACACACCATATAATCACCCAAGCTTTAGTGGGCCAAACCCACCCTGTCTTCTTAAAGAAGTCAGGATCCCAAAGGGCTTCAACTTTTAGAAGGGGGACTTTGACATTTGCCAGAGGGAAAATATTCAAATACTAACTGTTGAGATCAGAATGATCCCAAACACCTGCCCCCAAATATGGCTTGATGGCTTGCTGCATTTTCTATTTCTTGACAATGGTCTTTTATAAAGAAGCAATGTTTGAAGACTTTACTGGGCGTTATAGGACATACCTGAATGAGCAATTTTATACAATGAGACTTGCTGAATTGCAAGGCATTGAGAAAGGACTTTTTAAGAAGCTAAGGAAATAAATAATCTCCTCTGTCAGATTCATAGGGTAATAAGCAATTACTTTTTAGCGATGAGATAAAGGCAAAATAAAAGGGAATTTTCTTTTTCCTGACAAAGTGTTATAACTTATGAGTTTTATTCATGTTATCAGTGTCTTATTTCTTGAGAATGCAGAAAGACTTCTCTTCACAAATAAGCGATCTGTTCAATCTCAGGGGCGCTCTACATGTTCTGTGGTATTTTGTGGTATTTTGTGTATTTCTATATGTTTGTGGTTGGGCACTTTCATTACTCATGACCTATATTCTGATCCTAGAAATCTTTAGTAAAAGTGGTTAATTCAATGCAACCAAGAATAAAATAAACAGATTAGGTCTGGCTATTTACTCTCAAGTTTAGTGTTTTAAACAGTTTCTTCTGACCTTTACAAACACTGAAATCATAAGGAGCTCACACTTTTGAAAATATTAAGCAATCCACTAATTTGAAAATCATTTGATGTCAGCTTGTTAATTGATTCTTTCCTCATTCACATGAAAAAAATCTAAAAGCCAATCATTCTGAGGTCTGTCAATACATGTAGAAAAAACAGTAGAAACAGTATTTTTGTATTTGTTTACCTCAAAAACAGAATCTGAGCCACAGCCGTAGGTCGAGCACGGCCCACGCACCCCCATCACATTTTCTCTCTTCTCATTTTGGATGCTGTAAACCGCCCTGCACAGGTTCCAGTGCTCTGCAACGAAGCCAGTGGTGACGCCAGGAGGACACTGCACCTCCAGCTGCAAATGAAGCAGCGACACGGGCAGATGCTACATACACATGTGTATATATGTACAAAAGCAAGGATCTGATGACAGTATCTAGTATTCACTGAGCACTCTACTTTTTGCCAGGCATTGTACTAAGCAGCTGGCATTTACGTACTACTTGATACTCAAAACAATCATCCTACAAGATAGGTACTATTAATATTTACACTTTACAGGCGAATTAATCAGGCTACAGAGAAGGCTGTAAATAAATTACTATTGTAAATGCTGGTACTTAACATACTTATCCTAGCAATCCCAGGGGTATTGTTTGTCCAGTTTATGTATGTGAACACTGGGGCTCAAAGATGTATTAAGTAAATTGTCCAGATTTAAGTGGCTGGCATGTCTGAAATTCAGATTCCCTTGGACGCCTCTCAAAAAGTGCTTTTGCCCTGTAGCAGACAACTTTCCTAGACAGTGCAGGCTGTGGAAGAGTAACCGCACTGCAGCTCAACATTTCTGTGTTCTAGTCCCAGCACGTGGCAAAGGGCAACCCTAGCGTGAGGCACTTCACCTTTTTGACCCACCCTTTCTTTATCTGCAGCAAGGTGTAGACTGTGATGGTAGAACAGAAGTACCTAAAGTCCTTTCCGATTCTAAAAGAACACGTTCAAGTTTAGCAAATACCTTATGCGAGGACATTGGAGGAACATTTGGGCAAATGTGTGTGACTACTCTTATAGCTGATAGGTGAATTTCTAATTCAGTAGACCCAGCTGATAGAATTGTAGTCGCTGACTAAATAGCCATAATTGTGCATGACCCACCAATTAGCTCCGAAAAGCATGAATCTACAAGAAAAAGCCCCTTGTGAATTCCTTCGATGAGGCAATCTGGCTTCCTCCCTCCCCACTGTCTTCTTTCATTCTGACTGGCAGAGCCTGTGAAAACCCTCTCCTGTGTAGTTTTGGAAAAGCACAACCGCGCTGTGAAGAGTTGGATCTGCAAGAACCAGTGATTGGACTCTGTTCTCTGACCTCTTGCCTGGCGGAGGGGCAACAGAAACAGCAGCAGGTGCATCTGAAGGGTCTTTGCAGGGTCATGATTTCTCGGCCCGCACAGTCAGTGACCCGGAGCACGAAGGGCCTTAGCGTCCGATAAGTGTTCCTGGTAATGTCGTCTGTGTCTTCAGTTACGATGTAAACCATCTGGTCCACGTTGTTTTTAATATCATATCTATTGTTAGTTTCAAAACGTGTTATCCCTAAAAATTAAAATGAGAAAGCCACTTTAAATTAGAAGCAGTCAAAATGGGCCTTAACAAGTCCTTTTCTAACACTTTTTAGAGGCTTAAAGAAAATAGCATTTTAAAAAGTTCAGGTGAGATACATATAAATTGATTAAAGCACCACAATATTTCCTATGCCCTATTATTTGGTGATTTTGAAAATTTAAAATATTTCATTTAAGAAGCTCAGTATTAAGTAATTTAAAAAACTTTCCCAAATAAAAACAAAGATGAAAAAGGATTCCTAGAGTATCTGAATTCAGGAAACTTTAATTATAAAACCATTTAAATGAAATCATATGTTGGACCATAAACTAATCACCTCATGAACTATGCTGAAATGTTTGGGGTCATTACTAATTACAAATAAGAAAGTGAGCCAAGGAAAGTCAAAGACTTGTATGTGGTGTTCAAATGAACATGTAGGTCCGGTGCAGCGAGGATCAGTGATTTCTCAAGGTTAAACTGAGAGCAGGCCTTGTTTACTGTGATTTCTTCTGACTTCCAGAGCAATGACACTGGACGAGAACTCAGCAGATTTAGATTCTATTTCTAATTCTACCACTGATTAGCTGACTATGGTGCCCCTGGCTAACCCATTTAATCTCTTGGCTCCTTCTTTTACTCATCCAGGAAAGGTGAACATCCAAGGGAGCAGATGGGTATGGGGTGGGAAACTGATGAGATGAAATGCAAGTCCTTTCATGTCTAATAACTTATATATGATGCATAAATAGATGAAAGTATATAAAACAATTCCCTTTCTTACTTTCTTGAAGGGAGGGTAACAGAGGAGTCCTTTCTCTTTGAACCACTAAAAACTGATCAATATAAATAAGGCACTAGATATTGGGTAATGCAAATTTCCACTTGATTCAAATACTGCTGAACACTACAAAATTATACATACTTTCCAGAGGCTCAAAATGCTGAAGAACATGTACGTTGTCCAACTGTTGGAATAGAACAAAGCAGTTAGGGGAGATAGAAATAACAGAATTAAATCAAATCAGCAAAAGAAAAGAAACTGATGAGATAGGTATTAAAGCATATCAGTGGATACCAAAATATCTTTTTGAAATTAAATGGAATCAAAAAATTTTTATCAAATGAAATTTCCTTTATCTGCACCTGATCAAATAGCTATTAGCAGAGCTGTCCAGATAGGAAAACTACTTTTCTGCATTTCTACTTTAAAAGATAAACAGTTGTCTGGCATATCACGAAACCATCTTCCTGCTACAGTAACAGCATCGAGGAGAAGTTATGTTGACAGATTGTTCCTACTCACTGGTCTCAGTGACATGTCACCTACAGGCTGAAGTTGCTCAGGAAGTTTGGGACAGTTTAGCATGGACCAGCAACAGAGAAAGTGTGGCTTAGGGAGAACAAGTCAACCAGAGTGGCCCTCACATAGGGGATGTCCAGTTTCATACTATTTCACAGGCACCTCTGGAAAAGAATAACACAGTGGCTTCATCCACTTGAGCTACTAATGCCCAGGTCTCCCTAGGTGCATACTTTAATAAGGGCAAGGTCTTCAAGGGCTGAAAGCATGTGAATAGGATTAGGGCAAATGGGAGGAACCATTCTGAGATCCCTTGGAAAAGGAGGCTGGGAATACCAGTAGATAACTTCTACCTGTACTTTAAAGACAGATACTTTGATGGATCCAATATCTCTTACACCTGACAACATTCTAGCAGAAAAGAAGAAACCTCCATGAGGACAGACTTATCATATCTATATTATCTTAGATATATAAATTATTAGGTCATTCCTAATTCCAGAGCCTGAAATGCCATTTTCATCAAATATTCATTGAATGTATTAATGAAAAATACATGAATGTGGCAATAAATGAAGCTAACAGTAACTGGATAAGAATGTTTGTGCTGTGATTCAGTATAGGAGGGTATAGAGAGGATACTATCCTTTCATAAAATTTTTTCTTATATATGAAAACACAATCAGGGTAGGGGGTTTATATGTGCCTTATAAAAATATCAAGAATGGCCATTAAGGTTTTTTTTGTCTTTATTGTCTTTTTTGAAAAATCCAGGATGTTAAAATCTAGAACTAAAATGTAAAAATATTCACTGCTTGGTAAAAGCATCCACTCCTGAGAAAAATATTCTAAAGAAATGATGCCCATTAGTGTGGAAGAAGTATGCCCAATAAGATACAGTGGCTGCTAAGAAGCAATTCTCTAACAAACTGGTGGAGTCACTATCCAAGAGAGTACTCCAGAAATAACAGACTCCTGCTACTTTGGATACTATGGAGTCTGGATAGTCCAGATAAACATTCATGTGATCTGTACATGAGATTGCAAAAAGACTAGGATAAAAAAAGTACTGCAGAAAATGATTGACATTGTATCTTCCAGTTGAAAGGTGTTTCAACTAATAACATTCCCACAGCTATCACCCATTAAGTGGGCCCTATGTATCAAAACTATTAGGCACTGTAAAGGGTCTTATCTCATTAAAAATTCTCCTAACAACTCAATAAGGTATGTATTGCCAGTATGACTTTGATGGTGAAATACAAGCACCAAGTTAGGAGAGTTACTCGAGTTGGCAGAATGAGGAGAGAGTAGAACTAAAATTAAAAACCAAGTTGGCTGGCTCCAAGCCTGTTTTATTTTTTTATTTTTCTTAACTCAAAACATTCCTGAAAGGGAGAATAGAACTCATAAAATATGTTCATTTAACTTCTCTCAGAGTAACAGAAGAAAGTAAGAAACTGTTTTTCATTTAAATGAAAAATATGAAAGCAGTGGATTTTTAAAAGAGAAATTACTCCAGATCTTGGATTCCCAAGGATATCAAATATAAGAAAGAGACTTTCTAAACTGATTAATTATAAGCTTCTAAAATAATGTAGAGGTTTATTCTAGTGCCATACTTGGATGAGAAGCTTCATATTTTGTTAACATTTTGCTAAAATAACAATTTAGGAAAATTTTTGGCTTATGTAAAATCCCAGTTTTCCTGATCTAACTGTACTGACTTTTAAGTATCAACACTATGGTTCTCAATTCACAGGATTAACAGGGTCTCCAACAATATGTAAAACTGAAAAGAGAAACATGTCAATTTCAAGGAATATCTGGTTGACTATGTGGGGAGACACATTGAATTAGCAAGTCCCTCTCTTATAACATATTTCACTGCTTCCTTTGTCCAAAAGCAAAACAAAATTCAATAGCTTCTAAGATTTCCAATATTATTTTTATCTTATTTTCATTAAGCAATTTTTCCAAGTTTCCTATGTATTTTTAAAAAATACCGTTTGGTATACCAGTCTGACATACTGCCCCATTCTGACCTGGTTGTCTTGGTAGCTTCTTAATGTCTCTGTAGATGGAAAATAAGAAGTCACTGTGTTGTAGGAAGGAGGTCTCTGGAACTTGGTCTGAGACAATATTCTTGGTAGGTCACCTATTTTTCTTTACATTTTACATTTGGGGGTGGCTGGAGTAGCTAATTAAAATTGTGAGTAGTGAGGAGCAATGAGCTGAGCTCCTCAGTGATTCCGTCTACTGTTCCATTCTGTGTTTGTTGCTTTTGTTAACTCTTCTAAGAAAAATGACACCTCAATTAGCATCACTGGTAGGTAGATTTTCTTCTGTCCCTACTTTTTAAACTGCCTTCAACAGGACATCTTGTATATATTAAAATTCAACATACATCCTTTAGAAAACCATACTCATCCCACCATAACTGTTCCTATATTCCCTGTTCCCTGTTCACATTTCTGCAATTAGTACTACCACTCCTACAGTCTTTAGACATCTGTCATAATTGACCCATTGCCTTTATCCACTCTATGCAGCCTTTCGACTCTTGTGAGATCCCCAGTCATACTACGTAAGAAAATGATTTGGATTTGTGTGGAGTACCTGGGCCAAATATTCCAGACCAGGAGGACAGTTTGGCATAAGAGTTGGCTCTGGCATCCATGTTATTGGAGCAAACTGATTTGGCATGTGATATTTGCCAGGTTGGTACTGGATAGGATGGATACTGCCAGGTGGCTGGTATAAGGGGATGGTAGTGGAGTGCTGTGGACCATAGTATCCCATAGGCAAGCCTCCTGGGTAGCCTACAGGTGGAGGGACAGCAGGTGCAGGGGGTCCTGTGTTCAAAAACAAATGAAAATGTTATACATTATTAATATTATAATACACTGGATATTAGCATGACCTTTTACAGGGAGATGATATAGATTATAGGACATCCACTAAGAGATGTTCCATTTTCTGAATGTGTAACATGTACCAACAATGTTACATAGTATCTCATTTAATCCTTTTAAACCTTCTAAAATAACTATTCTCATATGCAGAAGTAAGATTTGAAACAGTAAGTAACACGTTAGCCTTTCTATGTGTTAGGTTCATCCTTTGGAGACAGTAATATACCTCATCAGGTTGTAGTGGAATTAACAAAACTGTCTAGCACATAATTAGCACTGTAAATGTTTGTTATTATGTTTATTGCTATTGTTTAAGGTCAGAAAGATAGTAAGATCTACTTAACTTCAAAGAGGTGTTTTAATGACTGCTATCTAATTCCACAACAGTTTCACCACACCTGAGAGAAAGTCCATACTCGTTAGGAGTCCTTCTCCATCTTCCACCCCAGCCCTGTAAACCACTGTCTTTACAGATTTCCCTAATCCAGACATTTCATATAAATGTCATCATGTAACATGCAGTGTTTGTGTCTGGTTTCTTTCACTTAGCATCATCCTATTTTCAAGGCTCATCTCTGTTGTGGCATGCATTCATACTTCATTCCTTCTTATGGCCAAGTGACAGACATCCCATTGTACAGATACATCACATTTTATGTACCCATTAGTTAATTGATGGGTATTTGGTGTTTCTACTTTTTGGCTATTATAAATATCACTGCTATGAACATTTGTGTACAAGTTTTTGTGTGGACATACGTGTTTCATTCTCTTGAGTATATACCTAGTAGTAGAATTGGCTTTAACTTTTCATGGAATTGCCAAACTATTTTCCAAATGGCTTCACTGTTTTAGACTCCCACTGCTGAACTCATTTATTAGTTTGTTTAGTGTTTTTATCGTGAAGAGATGTTTCATTTTGTCAAGAACTTTTCCTGCATCTATTAATATGATTGTGTGGTTTCATGTATGCATACATTGTTTAGCATGCATTGACTGTCATGCTAAATCAATTTCTCATTCTTGGGATATACCCCACTCAGTCATGGTGTATAATCCTTATATGTTTCTGGATGTGGTTACTATGTTGTTAGCGTTTTGTTGAGCATTTTTGCATCTGTATTTACAAGCAATATTGGTTTGTAGTTTTCATTTCCCATGACATCTTTGTTTGATTTTGCTAATAGGGTAATACTGGCCTCATAGAATGAGTTGGGAAGTATTTACTATTCTTTATTTTTTTTGTAAAGTATTGGTGTTAAAATACTCTTTAAGCATTTGGTAGAATTCACGAATGAACCTATCTGGGTTTGGAATTTAGTTTGATGGAAATTGTGAAATTACTAATACAATCTCTTTATTTGTTATATAGGTCTATTAAGGTTTTTCTATATCTTCTTGAATCTTCAGTTGTTTGTGTCTTTGGAATTTGTGAATCTCATCCAGATTTTCTACTTTGTTGGTATACAACTGTTCACAGTATTCTCTTACCATATGTTTTAATTTCTGTAAGATTGTTAGTAATATGCCCATTTTCATTCCTGCTTTTTAATAATGAGTCTATCTTTTTCTTGGTTATTTTGGCTTAAGTTCCTCAATTTTGTTGATCTTTTCAAAGAACTTTTGGTTTTGTTGATTTTATCTACTGTTTTTCTTTTCTTTATTATTTCATTTACTTCTACTTTAATCTATTATTTTACCCTTCTTGCTTTGGTTTTGGTTTATTTCAGATGTGGAAAGTTGAATTACTGATGTCAGATTTTTCTGGTGATTTGGGCATTAAGCAAGGAGTGGCTTTTGAAGCTGATGAAGTCTGGGACATTCTGTGATAAAAATCCCACCTGTGAAAGTCATGAATTATGAAACTATTTCTCCTAATACTATCTGAAAACAAGGGTATGAAATATATCAAACATTCCCTTATCTAGGAAGTATTCTTCAAACACATTTCAAGAATGAGCTGCCATGCTTGCTGCTAGACAGAAAGATGTATAAAGATATGTCTGTCTTCAAAGACACAGACTTATAAGAAATACAGGTCTATAAGAAAATGTGAATGGGTATGATGGAGTAAGTAACTAGTGTCAGATGAGGTAGGTGAGCAGCATATGAATGGATTAAAGAGGAGGGGCACCTAACTCAGGCAGAGGTGGCACCCTATGCTGTTAAGTGCTGACACATTAGACTCGGCGCCTCTGCAATGGGCGTAGGTTTTACAGAACAGGTAGGTGCAAAACAAGCAGTTGCACAGGGAAGCCTCAGTATTGTGGGAGGAAAAGCTATACATGGAGATTTAGCAGACAACGCTAGAAAGGAAGGTGGCGAGGGAGTGAAGATTATGAAAGATCTGTACTCTGTGACAGCTTGAACTTTATGCCAATAAAATAGAAAGAAGGGTGATTAGTCTTACATTTAGAACCTTTATGAATGAGAAGGTTAAATTAGGCAAGAGGTTCTTGCAAGAGTCCAGGTGAAAGGCAAGGAAGTTTGTGATGAACTGAATAGGAAGTGGAGAAATAATAATTGATGTTTAAGAGACAGTTTTGTCTGGGTAATAGACTGGATATGAGGAAAGACTCTCAAGTTTTTGACCTGGATCCCTGGAGGCCTCCAGAGTAGAGAAAGAATAAGAAAGTACATGTTTGGTAGCAAGATGCCAAAGTTGAATTAAAGATAACTGAGCTGGAGATCCAGGGGAAGTGTTCCATAGGCAGTCGGAAATGCAAGTTTGGAGCACAGGTGATTGGTATGGGCAGAGACTAAAGGATTCTCAAGTGGTTAAAGGCAAATGAGACCACAGGTATTACTGAGAACACTCGGGAGAATGTGTAAGAGGACAGGTGAACCAAAGGGGTGAGAGAGGCAGGACAGGGGAGTGGGCCAACTCGGGGGAATACCAGTTTTTAAGGGTAGGGGACATAGAGTACTTCACAGAGGCTGAGAATCAGGAAAGACGAAAGGAAAATAATGGTAACTAGAAACAATGTCAAATTACAGCTATGTGAGAAAAAAAGAACTAATGTCTTTAGGAAAAAAATGGAGGAAATTATATGTTTCAGTTTGTCATAAAGATTCAACTTTTATTCCTTTAGGAATTGTGTTTGAGAGTAACCAAATTAGATGAGAAATCAGATAGATCCATCCCCTGTGTTTCAACTATTATTGAAAACAATTCAACTAAAGGTCATACAAACTATCTTAAGAATACTATTGGTTATAACATTTCAATGAGTTGATTAATTTTGTGATTTTAATTGTGGGATTTTAATATAAGAGTACGTCATGTAGCAAAATTTGAAGATTAATAAATGTGGAAGAAAATTACAATTTATTCTCTGGGGCTATAGAGATTATATTTCTAAGAAAAATTATATACAAATTTATGTAATCAAATGATTTTTGTTATAAATATTATTCAGAGATGTTAAAAGAAGTGAAGGAAAAAACTATGATAAAATTACGTAGGAAAAGGAATATTATACTCCTTTTTGAGCTTTGAAATTGTCATTAAAGTTTCTGATCAGTACTGCAGGAAAATAAAACAACATGGTTAACTTTGTGTAACTAGTATCCCATACTTATTTAAATAAAAAAACTTTTTAGATCATTGTCCTATCAATACTAGTGTTAGAAATATGGCTTTATGGGATTTGTGTTTTCTCAGTCATTTTGAATATTACCATCTTTTTAAATTTCATTTGTTTTTAGTTCATATACTAATTAACAGCTCTATTTCAAGAAATTGTCATTTTCTCTTAAATGTACTACATACAACAAAGATTTCTTTATTAATTCCTCTTTTAAGCATATTTGGGACAAAAGTCTTCTTGGTGGGAACACATATCCAGTACTACAATGCACATGGGAATTATATAATTAAATTCAAGGAAATTCATTAAAGCCAAATATTATAAGTGTAGTATTTCAAATTCCTTAATGTGAATTACAGGGACATAATTCGCATCAGTCACCTAAAATAAGTATATAGTTCGGCCACTAGGTGGTGGTCACAGTGAATTGTTGTTACTGTACTTCACACTCCTATATTAAAATTTCATATATATATATACATATATAAAATTTTCAAAAAATGTTGCTAAATCTTACCATTTCCTAAGCTGTTAAAATGTACAGGCAGACCTCATTTCATTGTGCTTTGCTTTATTGTCCTTCCAAGATATTGTGTTTTTCACAAATTGAAGATTTGGGGCAACCCTCTGTGGAACAAGCCTATTGGCACCATTTTTCCAACAGCATTTTACGTCCTGTCTGTGTCACATTTGGTAATTCTGGCAATATTTCAAGCATTTTCATTATTATTATATTTGCTATGGTTAACTGTGATCTGGTATCTACTATGTTATTACTGTAACTGTTTTGGAGTGACACGAACTACATCCATGTAAGATGGCAAACTTTATCGTAAATGTTATGTGTTTTTACTGTTCCACCAACTGTGTGTTCCCCCATGTCTCTCCCTTTTCTTGGTCCTCCCTAATCTCTGAGACCCAACAATATTGAAATTATGCCAATTAATAACCCTACAATGGCCTCTAAGTGTTCAAGGGAAAGAAAGAGTTGCATGTTTCTCATTTGAAATCAAAAGCAAAAATGATTAATCTTAGTGAGGAAAGCATGTTTAAAATTGAGACAGGCCAAAAACTAAACCTCTTGCACCAAATAGTTAGCCAAGTTGTGAATGCAAAGGGAAGGTTCTTAAAGAAAATTAAAAGTGCTACTCCAGTGAACATATTAATGAAAGAAAGTAAAACAGCCTTGTTGCTGATAATGGAGAAAGTTTTAGTGGTCTAGATAGAAGATCAAACCAATCACAACATTCCCTTAAGCCAAAGCCAAATTCAGAGCAAAACCCTAACGTTTTTTCCAATTCTATGAAGGCTGAGGGAAGTGAGGAAGCTGCAGAAGAAAACTTGGAAGCTGGCAGAGGTGGTTCATGAGATTTAATGAAAGAAACTGTCTCCATGACATAAAAGTGTAAGGTGAATCAGCAAGTGCTGATGGAGAAGCTGCAGCAAGTTATCCAGAAGATCTAGCTCAGATAATTCATGAAGGGGGCTATACTCAACAACAGACTCTCAGTAGAGATGAAATACTTTTATACTGAAAGAAGATGCCATCTAGGACTTTCATAGGTAGCAAGGAGAAGTCAATGACCAGCTTCAAAGCTTCAAAGGACAGGTTGACTTTTTAATTATGGGCTAATGCAGCTGGTGACTCTAAGTTGAAGCCAATGTTCACTTTCCATTTTGAAAATCCGAGGGTCCTTCAAAATTATGCTCAATCTACTCTGTCTGTGCTCTTATAAATAGAAAAACAAAGTCTGGCTGAGAGAATAACATGGTTTACTAAATATTTCAAACGTACTGTTTAGACCTACCATTTAGAAAAAAAAAATCCTTTCAAAAGTACTGCATATTGGCATGCACCTGGTGATGTACAATGAGATGAATGCTGTTTTCATCCTGCCAACACAACATCCAATCTGCAGCCCATGGATCAAGGAGTCATTCTGACTTTCCAGTCTTACTTAAGAAAGGCATTTTGTAAGGATATAGCTGCCACAGATAGTGATTCCTCTGATAAATCTGCTCAAAGTCAATTGAAAATCCTCTGGAAAGGATTCACCATTCTAGATGTCATTAAGAACTTTTGTGATTCATGGGAAGAGGTCAAATTATCATCATGAACAGGAGTTTGAAAGAAATTGATTCCAACCCTCATGGAGGACAATGAGGGGTTCAAGACTTCAGTGGAGGAAGTAACTGCAAATGGGGTGGAAACAGCAAGAGAACTAGAATTAGAAGTAGATCCTGAAGATGTGACGGAATTGCTGCAATTTCATAGTAAAACTGGAATAGATGAGGAGTTGCTTCATATGAATGAGCAAAGACAGTAGACAGCATCTACTCTTGGTGAAGATAATGTCAAGATTATTGAAATGACAACAAAGGATTTAGAATATGATAAACTCAGTTGATAAAGCAATGGCAGGGTTTGAGAAGATTAACTCCAATTTTGAAAGTTCTACTGTGGGTAAAATGCTATCAAGCAGCATCACATGCTACAGCCCATGAAAGGAAGCATTAATCCATGCAGCACACTACGTTGTTATCTTATTTTAAGAAATTTCCACAGCCACTCCAACCTTCAGCAACCACCACCCTGATAATTTAGCAGCCATAAATATCGCAGCAAGACCCTCCACCTCCAAAAACACTATGACTTGCTAAAGGCATGATGATGGTTAGAATTGTTAAGCAAAAAAGTATTTCTTAATTAAGGTGTATACATTTTTTTAGACATAATGCTATTGAACACTTAACAGACTGAACTCATAACAGTGTGAACATAACTTTCGATTTTTTGGGAAACCAAAAAATGCATTTGACTCACTTGATTATCCTCTTTACTTTATTGTGGTGATCTGGAACAAACCTGAAATATCTCTGAGGCATGCCTGTGTTTGAATACAATCCTGATTAAAAACGATTTCCTTAGTCAAAAATAAGTGTATTTTTAATTTAAAAAATTTTACACATGGCCCAATTATTTTCTAAGAGGACTGTAAGGACTGAAACTTCCACTAGCAATCTGAGTATAGCCATTTTCCTGAGGCGCCACCAGGAGGGCACTCAGACTTATTTAAAAACATGTACAGAACGACAGGGCTCCTTTCATCAGCACCGAAGGCCATTCACCTTCATTCTCTCGCCACTGGTTCCATCCCATGCATGCCTCATACCAGACCTTTATGATCTTGTGTTTTGGACAATTTGTTCTTTCTCCAGGCATGGTCCCTTTCCCTTTTTTCTTTGATTGAGAAGCTCCTCATCATGCCAGCAACACTTGACTTCCTCAGTTAGGGCCTCTCTCAAATCCTTGGTAGTCAGTTACGGTCATCTGTGTGCCTACAACATTCTCCTCATGTTTCTGTATTAGAGCGAAGAGAATGCCACTGGTGTCTGTACAACTTTCTTCCTCAGTAGACTGCAAGTCCCATGAAGACAGAAACATATTCTAGCTGACATCTAGTAAACTAGCTGGCACCTGGCAGGCATTCACTATTTACTGAGTGAGTTATTTTTAAAAGCAACCCTAGCTAGCAGTATGGTATTTCTGGAGGGGGGAAAGATCCTTTCTGAATATTTAACCTACCTGGTACAAAATGGGCACTGTAGTCAGGAGGGGCATCAGGCCTTGGGTGAGGAGGCTTTATCTGATTCTCCATTTCATCCTCTGCTTGCTCAGGAGCTGTGGGGACTATAACTTGAGGGACAGACAGACAGAAGACATGATTTACAATGGAAATGATAATAAGGTAATAGAATATAATCATCTTTTATATACATCAATAGATGTAACCAATATGAAATACATGTATTTCCTATAAAACCATAATTTATTATGTATATATTTGATGAATTGTCAGGCTGAATATAGATTCAAAAATAAAACAAAGTAATGAAATTATGCTATGATCACAGCAATGAGCTTTCATGCTGACCCAATGGAGATTGCTACTGACATACATTCCTTGCACTGTAGCAAAAACTGTATTTCCCATTATATAATATGGAGAACATGGTCATCTACAGAAGGAATCTGATTTTTTCCCTAACCCTTTTTGGAAACTGACTGTGTTCTAATAAATTCAAAACAACATGATAAATACTGAATGGTTTAAAAAGCAGCGGTGCCACACTCAACTCAATTAGAGGTGGTTTGCCTACATGTCCCGTGGAAGCAGCCTATGTCGCAATAATTGTTGCACTGCATACTGAGGCCACTTCCCATTATGTCATACCTTGTCCTCTTGTTGAGATTAGAGAAACTTTTCCCTGGATGCACTGTAAGGAAAAGTTCTGAATATCTTAACTGGTTGACTTTTATCTCATAAAAAACACAAATCCCTCATATAAGGAGAGAAAGAAAAGTTTTCTCTCTTTACACCATCTCCTGCATTTCTTGAAAGCGTAGGGCCCACTTTTGAGCCTTCCCCTCTGAGGGCGGGCTGCCTTGCAGAGTTTTATTACTGCTCCCTCTTTCTGCAGACTTACCTTCCCCCCTCTGTTTTTCCTTTACCTAACATCCCCCACATACATTAGAGATCTTTCAAGCACAAATGTGCCAGTATAAATTCTTTTTCATCTTTTTCTGTCAAAGATAGATAGGAATGTTCATATGTATAAATTTTAATATGTATTATATTATATGTAATTATTATGTATATACTGCAAATGCTAAAAAACAGCTTCAAAGGGAAACAGACTCCAATTGTTTAAGGAATGTGATCACAAAATACACATTTGAAGATAAAGCATATTGAAGTTTATTCATAAAAACCTACCTGACATTTTGAAGAATTCCAATTAGTCCTGAAAAATAAAACATTTTCACACTTTAAGATATACACAGTTACTATTATTACTTAGTGATACATGTAAAGTTCTATAACTTTTCTCACCTCATTACTTCTTATTCATCCCTTTGATGAATAAGTTCAACAAATATTTATTGAACTTCTGTTATGTACCAGGCACTAGCACAGATGCTGAACATGTATCAGCAAACTAGATGGACAATGCTGGAGTTTATATTCTAGTGGACTGAGATTAAAAAACATGTCATCAATTACATGTTTTAATATAGATAATATGGTTATAAAAGCAAAGTAAACAGAACTAAACAAAGTAAAATGAAAAAAAATAATTACACCAAGTAAGAAGTTTTAAGAAAAATATGGGAGGGGAATTCCAAGAGGGTCAGGGAAGGCCTCTCTTGGGAGGTGGCCGTTGAATTATTGGAACTATGAAAGGAGGCATTGCATTAAAAATGTGAGAAGAAACTTCTAGAAAAATAGGAAAGTAAGTGCAAAGGCCCTGTGGTGGCAATGAGTAAGAATCCTCAAGGGAGGAAAAGAGGCCAGGTGTGACTGGGATGCAGTGAATGAAAGGAACCAGAGAACGGAGATAGGAGATAGAGGTCTGGCCACACCTGAAGCCTATGGCAAATGCTGGCATTTGTTGTCACTGCAGCTGAGAAGTCTTTGGGGGACTTTAGTCAGTGGAATGATCAAATCTGATTTATACTTTTATCTTGAGGGGACAAGAGTTGAAGAAGGGAGTGGTGTGGGGTGGCTTAGATCTCCCTGCATGCAGGCTGGGCCCTGAAAATGCAGAAGGCCTCTCTACAGTTAAAAGCTGTCATGACCAAGTAATGCTAAACTATTATGAACACACAGTTCAGTTTCTAATCTGGTTTCCAGCTGAAATAAAGCCAAAAGTCAATCACTTTTCAACCCATGGCACTCTGCCCTTGCTGGGTGATTGGGAAATCTGAAAACAATTCACTGAATGCTAAGGGAGGATTAAGTTACAACATTCTTGCTTGTACCAACTGGAAATTATCCTGCCTTATATAACATTTTGGATAAAACCATATTGTAACATTTTATAAGAAAGAGAAGAGAATTCAGGGTGGTAAAACAGAAAAGAAATCAATGGCTTGAAGCTGGGGGTCAGGAAGTGGGCAATAAAGAGTTCTTTGAATCACAGCTTGTGAGGCAATGTGTAGGTACATTTGACTTCATTTAAATTCACTGATGTTACTTGCTTTTAAAAAGGATTTTTATAGACTAAAAACATTTTCAAGATTGGTTTATTTTTTCAAGTTGTTACTTAATCACTTGAACCAGATTTGAATTCTAGTTTTTGCCAGGCATTATTGAGGACAGTTATTTCTATTTACACAGTATCAGTCTCAAACATGCCTGATCACAAGCTTCACTTAGGAATATGCTAAAGGTACAGATTTCCAGACATGAACACCAGAGCTACCACTTCATGTTTAGGGTCCATAATTCTGTATTTTTTCTTTCAATTTTTATATTGAAAATACAAATATTCAAATCTCTATTTTCACCTAGTTTGAGCAAATGTTCAAATTTATCACTTTTACACTATACCATTTGCCATTGTAGGCTGTTGAACAGGTGGATGGACGGCTAGATGGTAAATAATTTAGCTCCTTTTCACTAAGGCACTTGGTCTTTTCTAATTAGTTTCCATCATGGAAAATGGAGACATTGCTAGAGGGCTTTTTCTTATTTGTAGCTAAATGAAAGACAAATGAGTTAATAGTACAGCTTAAGAATCTACAGGATCTTTAGTTGAGGAGAGTGACATTTATTATTCAGATAAATGGATTTATCTAGTATCAGACTTTAAAAAGAACAGATAATTAAATTACGTTCAAGACATCTACAAGAATACCTATTACATCTCTGAGATACAAATATTAAGGTTATTTTTAAAATCCTGCACTATGGAAAATTGAGTACTTAAGTCTATATTAGTATAGTATTTTATGGTATAAAATTCAATTGAGATAATATATGTAGAAATGATTAAAAGTAATATTACATTTGGCTTATTTAGAAGCCTTGCTAAACTTTTAATAAATGTAAATGTTGGTATTTTTCAAATATTCATATTTTATAAACCCCTCATTTCACAAGGATCAAAGGGTAAATATAAGTTAACGTGCTAGTAGTTCTAGGAATGTATATATGCATTGCTTAAAGAAGTATCTATTAACTTTGCTAAATGTCTCATGTATTATTTTCCTCCATCTCCATAGGAAGTGATGGCTACTCAACTTTAGTTGTTACATGTAACCTTGTGCTGTGTAATAAAGAATTTACCTGGCCTTTGTCCTGGCTTCTGGGGAGAAACTTCTAAACACTTGAAATTTCCTGAGTGATAGGAGTGCCTTTATTAATCATGAAGGGTCCCTGGGCCACACCTGGTTTCATACTAAGGAGATGTCACAGGATAGGGGCAGATCATGCCAGAAAGAGCATCATGTGATTAACAGGGCTGGGGCTCTGCGCCACATGATATTTGACTGGAACAGTGAGCAGAGGAAGGGAACTGGAGATTTAGTTCAACCACTAGGCCAACAATTCAAGTAATCATGACTCTTTAATGAGACCAAATTACAAACTCTGGCCTGAGGTTTGAGCGGCTTCTGGTTGGTAAATACATCAATATGTTGGGAGGGTGACACATTCTGATTCCTTCAGGAAGAGGCATGGAAGCTGTGAATTTGGGACCCTACCAGACCTCACCCTATGTATCTCTTTATCTGGCTGGTCCTCATTTGTGTCCTTTATGACAAAACTTTAATTATAAATATAGCACTATCCAGAGTTCTGTGAGTCATTCTAGCAAATGGACAAATGCAAGGAAGGTGATGGGAACCCCTGAATTTGTGGCCAGTTACTCAAAAGTGTGGGTGACTGGGGACCCCCAGAACTACGGCTGGAGTCTTAAGTGGTGGCCGTCTTACTGGGGACTCTGTCCTTAAATTTGTGGAATCTGCACTAACTCTGAGTGGTTAGTGTCAGAATTGAATAGTACTTAGATTGTTAGAAAAGTTGCTAAGCTACTGCAGAGACAATATAATTCTGATTATAAAAGTAATACATCAGTTTTTGTAAAACATCAAGAAATGAAGTATAAAGAAATGAACAAAACCCTTAAACCAACCTTCCCAAAATAACTATTCTTAAAATGTTTGTGAATGTCCTATGTGTGTGTGTTTATATCTCTGTATATACATGGGGATTTTTATAATAAATATTACTAGAAATACTATAAAACTAACAAATATATTTATTTACATAAGGTACCAATGACTGTACCTTATTTGGGGGACTGATAGGCTAGCAGGTTTTAAAGAATCACTAATGCAAAAGTATTATAAAATAGCAGATAACTGTATTGTATGGAAGGAACTTCCATTACATTAAAAAAATGTTGGCTTTTCTTTTCTAAATGACCCTTTAAATACCTACTGCTTATAAAAACATAAAACTTTTATTCATTTCCAATGAAGCAAGACAAACACAAATGGGAATTTAATGGCTTCCTAGGGGAACAAGTTCCCAAAACTGGAGGTTTAAAAGCAACAGATGCATTGTGTTTCTATTTAGCTTGCCAGTGGATTCTGGATTGAATACTAAAATAGCTAGGTCACTACTTTTCTGAAAGAGAAAAAATTTAAATTAACATGCACGTTCAGGGGCAGCCTCTGTGAAATCACTGCTAAAGAACAAAAGAGTTCAAGTCAGCTTTGACAGGGGTATCCAGAAATGGCTTCAGATTCTTCCCAAATCTGACACATTTAGGGTTTAACTAGATGTTTGCAGTAAATTCACTAGACATATTGTCTGTCCTTTTGCTTTCTTTTCTGTTTACATTTCTTAGCTGTACATTAATGGATAAAAAAGGCTGGGATGCCTAAAAACTGTTTATTCTTTCTGTGGCCAATATGTCATGTCAGAATGTGATCTCCCTTTACTGATAATCCTGTTTTATTTTTCAATTGTGTTTACAAAAGCACTTAAAAATAATTTGATTGGCAGTTTACTG